TTTTTTTGTCTCTCTGTGAGCCACATCTAGACAGACCCATGTGGGCACACATAGTATACATGGGCAAAAAACAAAGCAACACCCACATGCCAACCCATTACAACTATATAAATGCTTGCTATCATCATCATCATCATTATCATCATTTCCTCCTGGATGCCTCATTATGGTCTGAAGTTGACCCTGGGTACTTGAAGGCTTATGGTAGTAAAGCACAAGAAGGACTTTTGTCTTATGAATGTCCTCTTTAGGGTATAAGCTCAGTTATAGAATCTCTGGGTCAGAGGTATGGAAATTTAATAACTTTATTTGCATAAATCCCAAATTGCTTTACAAAATGGTGGTACATGGGGCAGCTGGGTGGCACAGTGGATAGAGCACCGACCCTGGATTCAGGAGGACCTGAATTCGAATCTGGCCTCAGACACATAACACTTACTAGCTATGTGACCCTGGGCAAGTCACTTAACCCCATTGCCTAGCAAAAAAAAAAAAATGTACTGATTCATAGCTCCACCAACAATGCACCAATATACCTATCTTCCTATAAACCCTCCAACATTGACTATTCTCATCTTTTGTCATCTTTGACAATTTTCAGGGTATGAAGTGAAACCTTAGGGTTGTTTTGATTTGCATTTCTCTTATTAGTAGTCACATTGTATATTGATTCTTTATATACCAAACCCTTATCAGAGAAATTTGCTACTAAGATTTTTTCCCCATTCAACTGCTTCCTGCTTCCCTTATCTTAGGTGCATTAATTTTGTCTGCGCAGAATCTTTTCAGTGTTGTGTAATTAAAGTTATCCTGTTTTATCTTTTGTAATTGCCTCTATCCCTTGTTTGGTTAAGGATATATTACCTACCCATAGCTATGAGATGTATATGATCTGCTTCTCTTCTAATTTTTACGGTGTAATCTTTAATATTAAGGTCACCTATCCATTTAGAATGTATTATGGAATGTGCTACAAAGTGTTGGTGCAAGTCTAATTTTTCTCAGACTGCTTTTCAGTTTTCTCAAGAAGTTTTTATCAAATAGGAAGTTCAAGAAAGGGATTCTTAGCCCTTTTTGTATCACGGACCCCTTGGCAGTTTGGTGAAGCCTATGGATCCCTTCTCAGACTTTTAAAAAATTTATAAAACAAAACACACAGGCTTACAAAAGAAATCAATGATATTGAAGAGTTACTAATTTTTTAAAACAAGTTCATGGACTCCAGGTGAAGAACCCCTGCTTATATCCAGTATGTTTGCCAAGAAATCTCTAACTAGTGTCATAAAGAGTCAGACATAACTGAAACAATTGAACAACAATAATTGTAGTTGCACGGAAGATGCATTGGGATGGCGTAGACTGCCCCTGGAGGCAGCATGTGATAAAGGAAAGAGGACCATATCATAAGGTCATCACTCTAAAGTTGGAAAGGAACTCAGAAACCATCTAGTCTGCATTGATAGGAGTTTCCTCCCCTGGAGTTCCCTTTAACCAGTGTGATCCTAGCTCCAGTCCTCCTCTCTATTCTACTCAAAGAAGTTTTATTTTTTAAATATCCTACTCTTAAACTCATTTGATCACATTTGGAACCAGTGAATTTCCCATATAGTTTGTGTCATAGCTTTTAGAGAATCTTCTGTGAGATTTGCTATGAACGATGACTTAACCGAGCAATTGAATGTGGATGTTTCTTTGTTCTGCTCTTGAAATAAAAAACCACAGGACCTAAACAGGCGAGTGTGGTAATCCTGCCCAGATCCTTTGCTGAGGACTTTGAGAAGTTCTGCCAGGCCAACAATGGTGCTCTGCCCCTCCTCTATAGGAGCAAACCTGGTGAATGGAAGCCGCCTCCTCCGAGTGCTGGCTTGGACATCAGGTGAGTGTGCCAGAGTCCTGGAGAAGAGGGGTTTGGGTGAGGGGTGAAAACAGAACATTGTATTGAGACACTGAGGCTGTACTTGGTCTTCTGTATCATGTGATTTGGGATGGTACAGTTGGCCCTGCATGCTGCATGTTGTAGAGGCCTGTATCATAAGAACTGGAGAAAACTTGGAGTCAGGAATACCAAGTTCAAATCCAGCCTCAGAAACTTCCTAGCTATGTGACCCTGGGCAAGTTATTTAACCCTCTGTCTGCCTCAGTTTCTTCAGCTGTAAAATGGGGATAATAACAGCACCTATGTCCCAGGGTTGTTGTAAGGATAAAATGAAATTATATTTGTAAAGCACTTGGCAAACCTTAAACTATATACAAATGCTAGTTATTTTATTGTTGTTAATAATAATAATACTGAGGCCCAGGGACCTTAGTGACTTACTAAAGGTCACACAGGTAGTAAGCATTAGAGGCAAATGTGAACCCAGGCCCTCTGACTGCGGAATCAGGATGTTTTTATTCTGGACTTAGGAGTCAAAAGACCTGGGTTTCAGTTCTTGATGTGCCACTTAATAGTTATATGAGCTTTGGAAAGTCACACCATCCTCAATGAGTTGATCTCTAATATCCCGTCAAATTCTAACAGTCTGTGGTTTTATGAACTCCCTGGCCAGCATCTCCACTGTCCTCTGGGAAAGATTAACCCTGGGAGAAAATTATGACCTATTGGCTAGAGAGGCCTCTGGCCTCAGAAGTTTTGTCAGAGAATGGAAAGGCCCTGATAATTACCAAGGGCTAACTACTACCATGGGCAGTGAGGTGGCACAATGCCTAGATGGCTGGGCCAGAAGCCAGGAGGACCCAAGTTCAATTCTGGCTTCAGACACTTACTAACTATGCGACCCTGGGCAAATCACTCAACCCTGTTTGCCTCAGGTTCCTCATATGTAAAATGATCTGGAGAAGAAAATGGCAAACCACTCTAGTATCTTTGCCAATAAAATCTCAAATGGGGTCATGAAGAATTGAACATGATTAATCAACTAAACAGCAAAAACAACAAACTCAAGGGAGGTGGCCTGTCCCAATCAATCTGTAACAAATCTGGTGTCCCAAAAGTTCAGTTCTGAGTACTACATTTTAAGAAGAACATTATCTGATTATAATGTGTCTAGAGAAGGATGTCCAGGGTAGTGAAGGTTCTGGAATCTCCATCATCTGAGGGATGTTCAAAAGATCTGGAGACGTTTAGCCTGGAGAAGAGAAAACATAGAGTGGGGAGGGGGAGAATATAATAACTCTCTTTAAATATTTGAAGAGTTATCATGTGAAACAGGAACTCTATTTGTTCTACTCATCCCTAGAACGTAGAATTAGAGCCACATGAATTATCTATAAAATGAGGAGCTTGGACTAGATGAGCTCTATTGTCCCTTCTATTTCTAATATCCTATGAGCATCAGTTAAAGGGAAACTTCTTTTAGCTCAATGGAATAGAAAAGGGTCTAACAACCAAGGCTACCCAGTCATGCGGTGGTCTTCCAGGTGAGGTTCCTCAGCACTGAAAATGTTGATCTGATGGATGAATACCAGTCAAACCTCATCTCTACTATAGGAGGAATCCTTTCATCAAGAGGGAGGTAGACGTAGGTTGTTTTTAAGTTCCCAACCTATTCTAAAATTCTAGGATCAATTTAGTTCCATAAATATTTATTAAACACCTGTTACATGCTGGAACTGTGCTAGGTTAAGATAAGTCTTAGATAAGTCAATTTTCCTGCTTTCATGGAGCTTACAGACTAGTGATGGGTATGATGCATATGTGAATAGCTATAGTACCAAATAGGATATAGTGAATTCCCATGGGTTTAATTATCATCTCTATGCAAATGATTCCTAGATCTCTGTATCCAGCCCTTGTCTCACCTCTGAGCTCTAGTCCCATATGAACAATTGCCGATTGGATATTTCAAACTTGATATCTGAGAGTCATCTTAAACTCAATCTATCCAAAACAGAACTCTTTCTATTTCCTCCAAAACCTTCCATTCTTTCCAACTTCACTCTTACCATCAAAGGCACCATCCGTCATGCTCCCATTCACCTAGGCTCCAAACCTCAGTGTCATCCTGTACTCCTCACTTTCACTCACCCCACACATCTGGTCATTTCTACCTTCACGGTATCTCCTGTATACATCTCCTCACCACTCACCTAGCCACAGCCTTAGTACAGACCCTTATCACCACTCACCTGGACTACTGCAATAGCTACCTCAAAGATCTCCCCATTTTGATCCATCCTCCATTTGACTACCAAAGTGAATTTCCTAAAGCACAAGTCTAACTATTTCAGGCCCCTGCTCAATAAATTCTAGTGGCTCTCTTACTTGTAGGATCAAATATGAACTTATCTTCTCAGCATTTATAACATTTCATAACCTCTCCCCTTCTCTGCAGTCTTCTTATACTTGATTCTCCCTCCTCCTCACACTGTACATATGATCCAGCCTTCCTGATCCAGTTGCTGTTCTTCCCACACCACACCTCTTCTCCCATCTTTCTACCTTTGCTTTGGCTATCTGACCATACCTGGAATGATCTTCTGCCTCATATCCACTCCTTAGTTTCCCTGGATTCTTTCAAGACTTGGCTCATACCCCACCTCCTGCAAGAAACCTTACCTGGTCTTCCCAGATGCTCGTACCTTCCCCTCTGAGATTACCTTCCACCTATTTTGTATATATCATGTACATATAAAGTTATTTGCATGTTATCTCCCCCATTCGAATGTAAGCTCCTTGAGGGCAGGGACTAATTCTTCCTTTCTTTGTATGGCCAGAATTTATCATAATTTGAATGTTTGAATAAGCTAGATCCCTTAGTAAATATAGACTATATCAAACATTCTCTTTAAAGTTGAATATCTAACCGCTAAACTCTTAGGCACATAATAAGTACTTAATATTTAGTTATTCACTCACTGATTGAGTGGATGAGAAGAACAAGAAGAGGGCTTTGTGGTTTATATCCTTGAGGTTAAGGGTTATTACCAAATGCAGGGGATAGTGGCGGGGGGGGGGGGGGGGTTTCATGGAGGGGGCTCCAGAGTATGGGGGGACCAAGATAATTCCAAAAGACTCATGATGGAAAATGCTATACATCCAGAGAGAGAACTATAGCGTCTGAATGCAGATCGAAGCATGCAATTTTCACTTTTTTTTCTTTTGTAGTTCTTCCCTTTTGTTCTATTTTTTTTTTCTTTCACAACATGACTGATGTGGAAATATGTTTAACGTGATTGCACATATATAACCTATATTAGATTGTTTGCCATCTTGGGGAGGGGGAGGGAAGAGAGAGAAGGATAAAAATTTGGAACTCAAAATCTTATAAAAATGAATGTTGAAAACTATCTTTACATGTAATTGGAAAAAAAATAAAATACTATTAAAAGAAAAAAAAACAAAGTATTGGTAGAAATGCAATTGACAAAGGGCTGGATAAGAGTAGGGAATTCTAGGGCTAATGAGCAGTGTGAGTAAAGTCATGGGGGTGAGGCATGATTGGGGGATGGTGGCAAGTAGTCCAGTTTTGCAGAGTTATAGAGCTAGTCTATACTCAATTCAAATTTTGTAGCTGAAAGTAATATATTTGTTACAAAGGTTTTATTGTTCTTTTTCAGTTGGTGGGGGTAGGTAGAGAAGGCAGATTTCAGTTTATTAAAAAATTTTTTAAAGAAAGGAAAAAAAGATATATTCAATGGAAACCCATGTTGTGTTTTTGGCAAAGTGGAGGCCTGGAAACAGTACTATCAGGGAATTTCTAGCTTCTTGTTTGGTCATATACAATAAAGAGCTAAGGAGCTTAGGAGTACCTGTCTATTACAGACATGAGGAGTACTGGAATTTGATTGGAAGCCCCTTGGGAGAAATTTCTGGTTGGTTTATTGTACTTCATACATACTGTATTTCATCTATACCTATCTCAGAGTGAAGGTAGGAATGTTTGTTGTCTTTATTCATTAACTCAACAGACATTTATTGAGCATCTTTTATGTGTAGGGCACTGAGCGAATAATTCAGGTCACACTAAGACTTTTGGGATACCCTGTAAAATGATAAGTAAAATATAATGCCTGACTTCATGGTAGTCCATTTCTTTAAAAGATAAGAAAGTGGGGGAGTCTATGAGTAACTGAGGGAAAGGAACTATACCAAGGAACAAAATATTATGATTATTATTGTTCATGAAAGGGTCCTCTAACCACTGTTAGGGTTCTCCAGCTACTGATGGAGTCCTTTAATCACTGATAATCAGGGTCCTCCAGCCACTGACAAAGACTTGGCTTAGAGAAGAAAGGAGTCATGAAAGTGTTGGCAAAAATGCAGCTGTTCCTACCTTGTGCCTTATCACCACCCAGCCCTTTGGTGTTCTCTGTGCTTAAGCAGCTTAGGAGCACAGTCCAACAATTAAGATTTCCTTGGAGAACACATGTAGCATAGGAGTAACTCACAGATTCACAAGGAGAAGTGACCAGGAATGCCCAAAATCTATGGCTACATCCCTCTGATATGATAAAATCCTACCTGTATCCTTCCGTTCTTCTCCTAAAATGCTGTTACCACAGAACTAGGTTATCCAGGTATTGTAAGAGCATTGAATTGTAAGAGCAGAATGGTAGTAGCTGTTGCCAGTTGCCATGAGGAGGTCCAGCCTCTTTCCTGCTAAAATACTGCCTAAAGGCAGCATATTAAAGGAGAGAGAGCCCAGGCCTCTGGGTTAGTGTACCTTAAACTGGACCTTAAACTACAATTCTAAAGCTGATTTTGTTGAAAAGAGGAAGGGCAAGAGAGCCAGAGATGACTTCTTTCTTACAGAATTGTGCCAGAAAATTGTTTCTTACCTGAGTATCTTTCCCTGGATGTGTCTGTGGTTCTCTGTGGTGTGTTGGCTTGGGGCCCTAGAGACAGAATACACTAAAGTGTTGGTTTGGTCTGACTCTTCCATCCCAAGGACAGCAACAGTTGTGTTCTTGATACAAGAGCCCTTTCCTGTTCTATTGCATATGCTGGTATCAGATGTGACAGCCCAACAGTTAATAAGATTTTGCACAGAAGTATCATTAAAGGTCGTCTCCAATACTGCTAGTGAAAGCCCTCTGTTATATGTGCTGGATGTAGACAGTACCAGAATGGGAGGCAAACTAGTACCCTCTTCTGGGCTGGTGTGTACAGGACTACTTTGCTGCCTTCACAATTCAGTTGTTCTGTCTTAGTTGCTGGGCTAATAATTAATAAAAAATATTCTTACCTTTTTCAGAATTAATGACTAGGTGTCAGGGTTTTCAGAACTAATGCCTAGGAGAAGGATGGAATAAAAATATAGAAAAGATGGCCAAGGGGAGAAAGGAAGGAAAAGTTAAATCTTTTCATGCTTCATTTAAATTATGCCTTTAGTTCATTTGTTAGTCTGTTCATTTGTTCATGCATTTATTCAACAAATATTCAGAATCATAGAACATAAGTGCTATGTGTTAAGAGTCAGGACTTTAAGGATCAGAGACATAAGCCAGGCTCCCCTGCAGTTAACTTACAAGTTTATTGAATAACACACAAACCAAATTACATTATTTAGGCATAAAAAGTACAAAGAGATGTGTGTTCTTTGGTCAGCTTCACTGCCACCTGCTGGGAATCCATCTTTGTTCAGCTAATTGAAATGAAGTTATAGATATAATTGCTCCTAGAAGGTCACCTTTATCTAGATAATAACAGCTTAGTTACTGGATAGCCCATAGTTCTTTTTGTTTGTTTGTTTAATTATTTTTTCATTTATTTTTTCATTTTTAAAATTGTTTTTATTTTATTAAATATTTCCCAATTATATGTAAAAAAACTAACATCCATTTAAAAATGCTGTTGAGTTCCAATTTCTCTCCTTTCCTGTTCCTCCTTCTCCTTCCCCCTCTTTGAGAAGACAAGCAATTTGCTATAGATTATACATGTGAAATCTTACAAATCTTATTTCCATGTTAGTCATGTTGAGAAAGAAAACACAAATGAACTAAAACAAAAATAAAGATAGTTTTTTTTTTAAGTATGCTCACTCTTTATGCAGAATTCATCAGTTTTCTCTCTGAAGGTAGATAACATCTTTCATCATGGGTCCTTTGGTATGCAGCTGAATAAGTAAATTAACTTAGGTAGAACTATCACTTTTATTATATTGTTTTGGCCTATGCTTGATCAATTAATATTTCTCCAGTTGTTTAGATCTGCCTTTATTTGTGTGAAAAGTGTTTTGTAAGTGTGTTCATATAATCCTTGGGTTTGTCTTGGAGGTAGACTCCCAGGTATTTTATATTATCTGCAGGATGACCCATAGTTCCTGAGGGCTGTGTGGTTTTATACTGAGGTTAACAAATCTTACAGATGTACTAACCTAGAATAAGTAGATAAGTCTAAATTGTTGGTAAAACTCCTTTGGAGTCAGGGCTTGTACTTGTGGCAATTCACCAGTCATTCCAGATAGAATCGTATTATCAGCATGTTCCTCCTCCCACCCTGAGTAGGCTTAGTCTGATTGGTCTGATTCGTCTAAGCATGTTAGAAGAAGTCTTTTCAGATAATCTAGTCTGGAGGGTTTTTAACCTGAGGTCCGTGGTCCCCTCAAAGGGTGGATGGATATATTCTGGAAGGTCCATGAACTTGAAAGGGGAAAATACAGCTTCATTTAGTAGAACTGATTTCCTTTGTAATCCTATATATTTCATTTTATGCATTTAAAAACATTATTATGAGAAGGGGTTCACAGGTTTCATGAGACTGCCCAAGGGGTCCATGCCACACACAAAATCTAGTTCAACTCTTTCATTTTATAGATGAGGAAAATGAGATACAATATAATGATCTTCTATATTTAAGGAAGAGAGACACAGCCTACACTCAAAAAGAATTTCCCTGGGCAAGTCACTTAACCCTGATTGCCTCAATTTCCTCATCTGTAAAATTAGCTGGAGAAAGAAATGGAAAATCATTCCAGTATCTTTTCCAAGTAAACCCCAAGTGGAGTCACAGAGAGTCTAATACAACTGAAAAATGACTCAACAACGAGTAAAGCAAAAAGGCCACAAAACTAATTAGTTGTAAGTGTAGAACCAGAAACCAGTTCTTCCAATTCTCATTCCAGAGTTCCAGTGCCATGCTGATTTATTGAGCATCTACTGATTCATTACCAGAGGATGTGGGTTCAGATCCCAACTCTGACACTTATGATCTGTGTAACCTTGAATAAATCACACAGTCTTACCTGTAAATTGAAAGGGGTAGGCTAGATGGCCTTTAAGGTCCCTTCTAGCTCTAAATCTATGGTCCTAATCTATGAAAAGACTTGAGATGCTATATGGGATAGTGGATGGAGAGCCAACTTTGGAGTCAGGAAGAATTGAGTCAAAGACACCTATTAGCCACGTAACCGTGTGCACATCACTTGACCTCTAAATATTCCAGGCCATTCTCTGAACTCTAAGTTCTAAAGGAGTTGCTGATATGCATTGATGGGGAGAGTTTGTATACCAGGAGTTCCTGGAGGCAAGGAAATGATAGAATAAAAAAAAATCATATCTTTTTATCAAAAAGATAGAAAGAAAAAGTGATCTTATGTGTAAGGCAAGTTGTCCATACCTGAGGACAAGGAAAGAAAAGAATTGGACATTGCCAATTGTAAAACAGTCCATGACTACAATTGTCTAATGGTCTCACCAGAAACGATGGTCCACAGTACAAGAAATACGAGTTTGGTTCCTGCACCGACAACTTGACAAGCCTAGAAGGTTATTCGGAGCAGCTTAAAGACATGGTCGTTTTCTACTTGGACTGCAGCATCTCACCTAAAGAAGCCATGCAGAAAGTGGGGATTCCAATAAGGAATAAAGAAAGTCACCACAGCATGGCCATATACAAGGTAGGACCCAGGCAGGAAAGTGGCAGAATGGGTTTAAAAATTTGACTTGCTTTCATTCTTGTATCTCAACTAACCAACTGTACTTTAAAGTCCTTGGTTTGGCATTTAAAATTCATCTTAATATGGCTCCTGATTACCATCTCCAGTCTTCCCTAGACTGTAAGCTCCCTAAGGGCAAAGACTGTCTTTTTCCTCTTTTTTGACCCCAGTTTGTATCCCACAATGTCTGGCCTATAATAGATACTTAATAAATGCTTATTGATCGATTCTTATACTTTACTCACTTCCAGCCACCCTAACCTATTTGCTATACGTGACACACCATCTCTCATCTCTCTGCCTTTGCATCTGTGGTCCCTCATGCTTGGAATATTCTCCTGTCTCACCTCCCTCTCTTAGTTTTCCTAGATTCCTTCAAGAGTCAGTTGAAATTGAGCTAGGCTCTGAGCTCACTCCATTTTGTATCTGCTGATCTGCCTGGTTTCAACTTCATGCAACAAGACTCCTGGTTCCGCCCCATTCCTGCCTCCTTTTATGTATTGTTCCCTGTCCCATCCTGTCCCCTCCCCCCATTGAATTGCAAGCTCTTTGAGGGCAGCGAATGTCTTTCTTTTTATTAATTGTATCCTCAGCACTTAGCCTAGTGCCTGACACACATAGTAGCTGCTTAATAAATGTTGATTGGATTGGAGGCCTTTTCTGACCCCCACAGCTGCTAGTGACTTTCCCTCTGAGATAACTCTTCATCTATTCTGTTTGTATCTTATATATATCTAGTTTTTTACTGGGGCAGCTAGGTGGCAAAGTAGATAGAGTGCTGGGCCTGGAGTCAGGAAGACACATTTTCCTGAGTTCAAATCAAGATTCAACTCAAAAAGTATTTAATAAACATCTACTGGGGCAGGATTCTGAGTCCTAAGGACACAAAGACAAAATGAATTTGTCCCCTGATCTCAGGGAACTTACGTTAGGCAGCATTGTGTGGTTAGCTAAAAGAACCCTAGCCTAAGAATCAAAGAACCCAAATTTAAGTCCCATCTGTCACTAACAGGCATTATGTAACCTGGGCAAATAATTTTTCCTCATCTATGAAAAGGAGGGTTGGATAATGTGATCTTTAAGGATGCCTCCCCATGCTAACATTCAGTGATTCCATTTTTGTTGTAGTTCAGTCATTTTCATTCGTGTCTGACTTTTCATGACCCTGTTTGGGGTTTTCTTGGCAAACATACTGGAGTGGTTTGCCATTTCCTTCACTAGCCCATTTTACAGATGAGAAAACTGAGGCAAACAGGGTTAAGTGACTTGCCCAGGGTCACATAACTTGTAAGTTTCTGGGACTGGATTTGAACTTAGGAAGATAAATCTTCCTGGCTTCCAGTCCAGCATTCTAACCACCCCAATGATTCCATAACTAGAAACAGATCTGAGTTTCCATCTTTTGTAAATGAAGCATGAACCTTCAGTTGTCTTTTATGATAATGGTAAGATATTTGGGATATTCTCTAACCTGGTCCTCCTTCTGGTCAGTGGCATGACTTTGTGAGAATAATAACAATAGTCCTAGAAAAGTTTGGTGGTGTGGTGGATAGAATGCCAGGCCTGGAGTCAGGGAGACTCATCTTCCCAAGTTCAAATCCAGCCTCAGACACTTCTTAGCTATGTGACCCTGGGCAAGTCACTTAAACCTTTTTGCCTCAGTTTCTTCATCTGTAAAATGAGCTGGAGAAGAAAATGGCAAATCATTCCAGTATTTTTGCCAAGAAAACCTCAAATGGGGTCACAAAGAGTCAGACACAACTGAAAACGACTGAACAACAACAAGGTCTCTCTTAGGCCAAGAGAAATCCCCTCTACATCAGATGTAGATGAAGGTATATCTTCATGACCTCAGCCAGCCATTCTCTTCAATGGGTCCTGTGTTCAAATCTTGGCTTGCTACTTACTACCCACATGACCTTGGGCAAATCACTTCCCCATTCTGAGCCTCATTTTGTTCTTATGTAAAATAAAGACACCAGACTAGATGATTTCTAAGGTCCTTTCCAGATCTAAATCCTCTTAACCCCCTATCATATCTGGTTATATTCATCAGTCAACCAGCAAGCATTTATTAAGTACTCCTGTGGCCTTCTTTGGCTGGCGGATCCTAGTTCCTCATTGGTTATGTCCTCTTGGAGCTTCCATTTTTAGGAAGGACCATGAGGCCAGTCATGTTCACTTTTCCATTCCTCTCTGAGCCCTTTTCCTGACTCTCTGGACTTCTATCTACACTATGCCCCAATGTGGATATGTGCTACTACCCCCACTCACATAGACTTTTCCACTTCCTTGTATATGTTGTCTTCCCCTATTAAGATTTAAGCTTCCTGAGGGCAAGGACTGTCTTTCTTTTGCTTCTATTTGTATACCCAGCACTTAGCACGATGCCTAGGATATAGTAAGCACTTAATAAGTACTTGCTGACTGCTGTATGCTGGGCACTCTTCTAAGTGCTAAGGAGACAAAGTCAAAAATGAAATAGTCCCTGCCCTCAAGATACCTGCATTCTGTTTTATTAGCTCAGCTTCTCCTGTGCTTCCAAAGGAGGAAGCAGCAAACCATTCAGAAGTCTAAAATAATTTTATTGATATTACATTAGTATTTCATTTTGATATATTAATTTGTATTTCATTTATATTCTTCCATTTATAAATGAATATAAATTATAAATATATTATTTATGTTTTATATATAATTATATAAAAGTATAATATATGATATGTATATTGTATATATAATTATAGATGTAATGTATTTATATATCAATATTTATATATAATGTTGTTATGTTTAATATTGTTTATGATCATGTTATTCATTTATATTATTTATGATCATGTTATGCTTATATTATTTGGCATGAATAATATTAAGATAAGTTACACACATAATGCTTTAAGTTAGGTTAGAGCCAAGATATTCTCAGTAGGCTTTAATACAGATCTTTTAAAAAGAGCTTTTGGAAAGGATTTTTCAAAAGAGCCAAGATGCCAAAACCCTTTCAGTGGAAAGATCCACTCATCAGAGGCAAGATAAATGTTCCTAGGCTTCTTTAGCCTTTTTTAAAAAAAACTAGACTTGTGATTTCTTATATATAGGACGTTCCCAGAGAGGAGCTTCCTCTACCAAAATAGGTCTGCAACAACTTGTCTGGGATACTGAGAAGTTATATCATGTGGGTCACACAGCTAGTGTATGACAGAGGCAGGATTTGAACCCAGGTCTTCCTGGCTCAAAGGTCAGTTTTCTATCCACTATACCACAGTGCCTCTTTTGCTATGTGTATTGTAGAAGATAGAAAGCTAGCTTCAAAGCCAGGAAGACCTGGGTTCAGATCCTGCCTCTGACAAGATGAGCTATGTAATCCCAGGCAATTCGTTTAACTTTTCAGTATCGATGCTCTTTGTTGTTGTTCAGTCATTTTTTTCATTTGTGTCCAACTCTCTGTGACCCCATTTGGGGTTTTCTTGGCAAACATACTGGAGTGGTTTGCCATCTTCTCGAGCTAATTTTACAGAAGGGGAAACTGAGGCAAACAGGATGAAGTGACTTGCCCAGGGTCACATAGCTAGTAAATGTCTGAGACCAGATTTGGACTCAGGTCTTCCTGACTCCAATTCTGGCTCTCTATCCAGTGTGCCCCCTAGCTGCCCCAACAATACCGTAGGCAAACTACAACTCTAAATTATAGAGAAGATGCTCACTTGAATTAGAAATGAGGGAACCATGTTTTGCATGACTTTACATGTATAGTCAATCTCATATTGCTTGCCTTCTCTAGGGGTTGGGGGGAGGGATAAAATTTGGAACTCAAAACTGTTTTTTAAAAAAAAGTATAATAAATTAATTAATTAATATTAAAAAAAGAAAAATGTTAAAAATGTTTACATGTAATTGGGAAATATTTGATGAAATAAATAAAAATATATTGAATTGGTAAAGAGATTTTCTTATCTAGGAGTTCCCTTTTACCCCTGAAATCACAAGTCCAGCCCCTATGCCTATCCTTCCAGGCTATGAGATCTGGAAGGGACTTCAGAAGTTGTCTTATCGTGACCTTTTAAATTGCATTACCTTGAATTTTAAAAGGATTTTTTTTTGACTATACTTATTTGTTATAAGGACGGACTTTTTATTTTTTTGTGGGGGAAGTGGGTGGGTAATGATAATGGTGCAAAAAAAGGGGGGAGGGTTTAAAAAAGACAGCCTGAATTTCCACTAATTTCATGTTCATGTGGTATGTTTTGCTAGACAGCTGTTCCTTGCTCCACTGTTGGCAGGTTTTGCTGCCCTCTAGTGGTTACCATGATGCTTATTCCCAAGGACAAACTGGAAACTGTTCTACATGACGTTTACCTAACCAGAGGTTTGCAAGGAGAGCCCGTTCACATTGGCTGCCCAGGTCAGTGACTCAACAGGTGTCCCACTGTCCAAGTAGTCTGTTACCCCAGTTTGAGACTGCACAGAAGAAGTAGACGACTCAAAAGGAGTGTGGCTTTCCATTGAACCCATTGCACTTCTAGGATGGGGAATATAGGTCAAAGTTAGCCTGGAACTCTGTCCCTAACTTCCCCGGCTTCCTTCAAGTATCAGCTAAAATCTTACTTCAGCAAGAATCTTTTCCTGATTCCCCACCTTGAGACTAGTGCCTTCCCTGTGCTGATTCTCTTCAATTTATCTTATCTATGTCTAGGTGGCACAATGGATAGAGTGCTGGGCTTAGAGTCAGGAAGACTCATCTTCCTGACTCATATGGCCTCAGACACTTACCAGTTGTGTGACCCTGGGCAAGTCACTTAACTCTGTTTGCCTTAGTTTCCTCATCTGTAAAATGAGCTGGAGAAGGAAATGGCAAACCAGTCCAGTATCTTTGCCAGCGAAACCCCAAATTGAGTCACAAAGGGTCTGACATGACTGAAAGGACTAAGTAACAACAAAATGATCATGAGTCCTCATGAAAAGTCAGACACAACTGAAAAATGATTGAACAGCAAAGGAAACTGAACAAGAAGAATATCTTCTTTTTTTTTTGGCTAGGCAACGGGGTTAAGTGACTTGCCCAGGGTCACACAGCTAGTAAGTGTTATGTGTCTGAGGTCGGATTTGAGCTCAGGTCCTCCTGAATCCAAGGCTGGTGCTCTGTCCACTGCATCACCTAGCTGCCCCAAGAATAATATCTTCTTAGCAATAGTTTTTTTTTGAATGTTATCTTCCTATTAGATTATAAACTCCTTGACAGCAAGGACTGTCTTTTACCTTTCTTTGTATCCCCAGTGCCTCGCATAAAGCATGGCCCAGAGTAAGCATTTGATAAGTGCATCTTGACTGACTGACGGATTGACAAAGGAATCTGAAAGACTCTTGCAGAATTTGGCATTGAATCTTATTAAGGCCCCATTCTTTTTGAAAGTAGGCTGAGGTCCTGTTAGGCAAGTCACTTCCCCATCTTCCTCTTTAGAAAATCAGCACATGAACATCGAGTTGCCTAATCTAATTGTACCTGAACAAGAATCTTCTCTATATCTGTGACAAGTGGCCATCCAGTCTCTATTTGAAGACCCCCCCCTCCACACACACTAATAGGGAACCCACTGCTCTCCAGCCCATTCTCCATTTAGGTATCACTAATTGTTAAGCTTTTCTATCAAGCCTAAATCTGCTGTTCTGCAACTCCTACTCACTCATTATTCCTAATTCTACAAGTCTTACACCTCTTCTAACATGACAACCTTTCAAATACTTTAAGAGTTATCATCTCACCCTCCCCCACCCCTCCCAGAAGTTTTCTCATATCCAGGCTAAACATCCCCAGTTTCTTCAACCCATCCTCATCCAGCATAATATTACAGTCATCATCCTGGTAGTTCTCCTTTGCACTTCAATCAATCAATCAAGCAGGGAGACAGTCAGGCAGACAAACATTAAATGACTGCTATATGCCAAGCACTGTGCTAGAAGCTGCTGGAGATTAAAATAAAAAGACCAAAAACAAAATGAAGCTATCCCTGATCTTATGGGATTGAAATGAAATAATCCATTGCTCTTATATTTGGAAGCAACATTTGCATATCTAAGAGGTTACAGAATAAAAATATATAGGAAAATACAAAAGAGTTGAATACAAAGTGGTATTGGTGGAGGGAAGAAGGAGTGGAAAGAAGGAGGGAGGAAGGGAGTGAGGGAAGGAAGGTGCCGAAGTTGGGGGTCAAGAGAAGGGCTAAGAAAGGACTTTTCCAGTTTGTCAATGACCTTTTGAAAATGTGGTACTCAGAAAAGAACACAGTATACTAAAAATCGTCCCACCAGGCTAGAATACTATCAGCTCCCTTGTTCTGGACATTTAACATAGTCCAAGATCACTAGTGGGAATGGTGATATTTTGTAGACTCAGTAGCTACTACTGAGTTCAGATGAAAAAGATCCGGCCTGAGCATAGGATGAGTGTGTTCCCTGTGTGATTTAGTTTGCCCAATAATGCAAAATTCTGGAAAGGAAGTTGGATAAAACTCCATTGAAAACAAACATTGGGGTGGGAGTGGGGGAGTTGATTTCTGTGATTTCTCTATTGTAGGGGATTCTTGGTGTGTAAATTACCTCCACCAACGTAAATCAGCAACTCATCTATAACTTACAGTCTTAGTCGCCTGGGGCCACTTGTCTATGATCATATAACTAGTAAGTGCCATATGCAAGAGTCTTCCTGATGCCAAGCATGGATCTCTAACCACTAGGAAATGCTGCCTTTGTATTTTGTTAAAAATACATATAATAATAACATGCTGTCATTTTTATACAAAACTGATGACTCTGGCCTCCATCAGTAGAACATATCAGTAGTTATATTTCTACAAGTGGGAATGAGTATACATTGAGTGATTCACACTCTCTGACCCTGTCCTTATATACAATGACATTTATCTATTGGACAGCCAGTCAGGGCTCAGAAATAACGTCTGTAGCTAGGAAGCAGTTTTGATTTGTACCATTAACTGCTCAGTATGAGAACTGAACTTATAGCCTGAACTTTGCTAGTCCTATGTTCTAACCAAAGAGAAAATTAAAGAAAATAAATCTCTTATATGGAAAACTTACTGGGTGCAGTGGATAGAGTGCTGGGCCTGAAATCAGGAAGATCTGAATTCAAATTTGGCCTTAAATAATCAATAAATGTTTATTAAGCACCTCCTATGTGCCAGGCACTGTGTGAAGCACTGAAGATATAAAAAGAGGCAAAGCAGAACTGAAATAGCTCAAAAGAAACACAAGATGCGCAAATTTAGAGAATCCACCCCAAATGTTCACATGGACTATTTGGACCCGACCTGTGGTAGAGCATTCTAAGCTCGTACTGGTCTGATCAGCCAGTCGGACACACTGTAACTTGAGTCTAACATAGTGATGTCATTTTGTTCCTCTTAGAGAACGGAGAACAACAACCAACCAGCTGCTTGTTTCCTTCCTTCTTTCCTTATTTCTTCCTTCCTTCCTTCTCTTTCCTTCCTTATTCCTTCCTTCTTTCCTCCCTCCCTCCTTCCCTATTTCTTCCTTATTTCCTCCTTCCCTCCCTTCCTTATTTCTTCCTTTCTTCCTTATTTCTTCCCTCCCTTCCTAATTTCCTCCTTTATTTCTTTTCTCTTTCCTTCCTTCTCTCGTCTCAAGAGATGTTTAAAAAAAACACAACCCTATGTGAAAAGCTCCTGGTGTGTGTGTGTGTGTGTGTGTGTGTGTGTGTGTGTGTGTGTGTGTGTGTGTGTGTGTGTGTGTGTGTAAGACTCCTCATTCTCTTGACAGATATGTCTGCATATACATGTTTCTATATTTCAGTTGCACCAGCCCAGAGGTGCATCTGTCTGTATGGCACATCACCTTTCTCCATCTGCCCTCTCTAGACCTGTTAGGAATTGAAGATCGTTCCAAACCAGACTATGGGGAACCAATAATGCTTCAGCCAGGAGATGTCCCAGTGTTTTGGGCCTCAGAGTTGACAAGCCTGGAAGCTGTCAGCAGCTGCAGTGAGTATACTTTCATGATGACTTTTTTTCCAGAGCAGGTGATGTAATGTGGATGAATTAATGGCCATGGCCTTTGTTAGGTTTAACATTGAATTTAAGAGCAAAGAGTAGTGTCATGCCACCCACAGCCAGCTCCCCTGGAATTAATCTCCCTCTTTTATCCCTTAAAAATTTGTGCTCTCTCCCAGTATTGGGTTTCCATTCTAGGGAATCCTTCCAAGGCTTGGTGCAGCCCACATCACTACAGAGAAAGGCAGTAGAGATGGGAGTCAGTGACTCTCAATCTTTTTGCACTGACATTGGACAAGCACAAACAACAGCGAGGAAACACTAAATATTCTTTTGTCCCTTTTCATTTCACTGTGATCATTTTCAGAGAGTTCGCAGATTACCTTCTATGTCCTCTGTATATATCTTGCATGTACCTAGTTATTTACTTGTCTCTTCCATTAGAATGTGAGCTCCTTGGGAGCAGGGAGCATATTTTGCCTTTCTTTGTGTCCCCAGTACTTACCACAGTGCCTGGTACATAGTGAGCACTTCATAAATGTTTGTCAACTGACGGAAAAAGTCACAGAATCTTGAAGTTGGGAGAGAACTAGTCAATACCACCTGTATAGAAATCTCCTCTACAACATTCCCAACAATTGGTCATTTAGCTTTCTCTTGAGGGTAGTCAAGGAGAGAGAGACTACCTTACTCTCTTCTTCTTTCTGAGTAGTGAGACATCTGTCATCTAGTACTGCAGTATCTCTCTGGGGTGTATAAAGTGCTCAGGGAGGACCAGCACCTCTGGTGTGAGGCCTTGCTGAACCTTTTTAGTGTGTCTTTGGTGTCCGCCTTTCACCCAACTCTCACCTGTGGCTCCAAGAAGCTGTAGCAGATGCAGTGGCCACAGCCCAGTAGAACTGTCTCAGCAGATGGGCTAAACCAGGTTGAGGGTAACTGACAGACCTCAAACACATTGGTGAGTTAGGGGGTTGCCTACCCCAAGTATGTGAAGACTTCCCTGGTAGAATGGGCAGATGAGAACAATTTGTTCCAATAAGGCCATGAAGATGACTGAAGCAGGCTCTGAGGATTGCTGAGAGCTTTGTCAACCATCAAAGACTCCAAGGTACTCCACAGCATACCAGGCCATTGCCAGTTGTCCTGATTTTTCTCCTGATCCTGGCCTTTGGTGACTCTGGAAGAGAAAGTGAGGCTGATGATTTTGCGTAGCTCTGACTCACTTAAATCCAGTCCATGAACAGGTCAAGATATCGTTACCTGATGTCACTGGTCCTCTTTGAAAACAAAGGATGAACTTCAACAACAACAACAGTATCTCTCTGTACTCCAAGCTCTTTTAAAGATTACCCATAGTAACTTATCAATCCTGTCAGTTCTTTCAATTCTCTTAAGATATTATTTGTCTAGTCCTGATAACTTGAACTTGTTGAGGGCAGCCTGCCCATCTCCTCACTTAACAGCATTTTCCACTCCATGCTAATCCTTTTTGTTCTATTCTGTGCAATGCAAAAATCATTGTTTTTGGATGTAAGCATAGAAACAAAATAAGACCTGGATAATTCAATCTTCTTGGGGCAGCTAGGTGGTACAGTGGATAGAGTGCCAGGCCTAGAGTCAGCAATACTAGAATTCAATCCAGCCTCAGATACTTACTAGCTGTGTGACCCTGGGCAATTCACTTAAGCCTGTTTGCCTCAATTCCTTATCTGTAAAATGAGCTGGAGAAGGAAATGGCAAACCACTCTAGTATTTTTGCCAAGAAAACCCTAAATGGGGTCACAAAGAGTCAGACACGACTGAAATGACCAAGCAACAACTACAAATGCAAAGCACTAGACTTGTTTTCCCTGAATCAACAAAGACTCATTTGTGGTTCCTTTCCTGAAAGCATAAGCTGGACACTCAGGATAGAACTAATTTGTCAGCAGCCACCCCTGCTGGGGGGGAAGCATGGCACGAAGAACTCAATGGTAGAGAACAAGTACTAACAATAAACCCGGTGCCCTTCCCTCAGGACAAGGCTTAACAGAGTACCTATCATTCCTTTTATCCCCAGTGGTGATGAAGAACAGGCCAAGCAAATTCCTGAGACTTAGAGAAAACTCAAGAAAGCACTAGAAACATGCAAAGGACTTAGCAACTGCTAGCAACCCTGCCATAGGTAACAAAGGTTAATCTCCCCCTTACACTCAGTTATTCAACCTGGCTTCCACAATCTACCCAAGTCTTTTCTAAATCTCAATGTGTCTAGTTCCCTATGTATCTCATCCATCCCTTTAAGCAGTTTCCCCTTTCCTCTCTCCTTATTTAAATAATTTCTGAGGATTTTTTAGAGCTCTGCCTTACTTAAGTCCAGTTTGTGCTCAGGTCAAGACATCACCCTCATGATGTCATTGGTCCTCTACAAGAACAAAGGACGAACAACAACAATTTTTGCTTATCTTCAGAATTTCAATCTTAAGAACTTCCCATCCCTGTTGGACCAACTTCCCCTTTAAAATATTAGGCCATTGAATCCCAGCTACCCTTTCTTTGAATTCTGTGAAATGTACTTTCTCCAAATCTACTTTTCAAGTCAGACTACCTGAATTTGCTCCTTCTCAACATCGTGAACTCAATGATTATAAGTGGTCACTTTCACTCAAGTTTCCTCACATTCCCATTTCAATAACCTGTTCTTCCTTGTGCGTTGAAATCATCTGATAATATTTCCTCTTGTTGAGCTCCAGAAGAATGAAATGAATATGAGCTTTTCATTTTTGAATTATGCCTAGTCAAGCCAGTATAGAAACTGGTAAGATGGTTCAGTGAATTATGTATCTGGAATGCTTACAGTCCACGGAAGCTCTGGATGAAGGGTAGGGACCCTGCAGTCTCAAGGTCACATGTGGCCCTCTAGGTCCTCAAGTGCAGCCCTTTGATTGAATCCAAACTTCACAGAACTATAGCCTCCAGGCCTCAGGTTCCCTACCCCTGCTCTAGATACTCAGGGATACCACCTGCACATATCCATACTCTAAATGGGGTCTCAGCCTAGCCCTTACAAATATTCAGTTCCTGATCTTTGGGAATACTGAAACCTCAAAAATAATAGAACTTTCTTCTCTTCTTTTCTAGTAGGTATGGTACTTCCTTAATTTCAACTCATTATAAAATACTTTCTTGTTTAGGACAATGGAAGGAAGGAAGGCTAGCATCAAAGTATTTTATGATTTAAAAAATTAATGATGAATGTAAGGTCATGGTGGCAGATGGTCCTTCTAATACAACCTGTAAAGCAATTTACCATATTCTAAATTTGTACTATTTGCAGACCTGTGTACATATATTCAGCTTTCAGAATAGTTTTGCCAATTATAAACAAACAAAAAAGGGAGAAATTTTTAATAATAAAAATTGCATTTACAAGTTATCTGTATTAGAATATAAAAAATCTCCAGTATAGTCAACTACTACCCATGTTATACAATGGACACATTCTATTTTAGTTGCTAATAAAGGGCCACACAACTCAAAAAAAATTCTTCTTGCTTTCTATACCTTTTGAAAAATGAAATTATTATCCTTGCTGGGTATGAAGGTACACACCTGTAATCCCAGTTGAAGCTGAGGAAGGCTGAGGCCAGCAGATGTCTTGAATGTGGGAGTTCTGAGCTACAGTGGGCTAAAGGTGATTGATTAGGTGTCCACAGTAATTTTAGCATCCACATGGTAAGCTGCCAAGGAGGAAGGCACCAAGCTGCCTAAGGAGGAGTGACTGAGCCCACGTCATAAATGGAGCAGATCAAAGCTCTTGTGCTGAGTTATAATGGGAATGGAGACTATGAATAGTTGCTACCTGGGCGAGATGGGAGGACCAAGTCTTTTAAAAAAAAAAATGAAATTATCATTAAGGTAAGTCACAAATATAGGAGCTCCTTGGCTTTTGGCAGGAAGAGAGTGTCAAAAGACGTCTGGATGGTTTGGATGAACCATCCTTTCTCCTGCTATCTTTCTTCCCATGGTATACCTGCTACTCTGAATGATGTAAGGCTGGTCATCACTACAAAACCATGTTTCCATATCAGGTTTGTGATTTGTCTCCCAAACTCATTACTCAATTACTCCTTCTGTCCAAGTGATCTATAGTATATATGTCATTTAGTTGTTCCATCATGTTGGACTCTTTGTGACCGCATGGACCATATCATACCAGTAATGTCCTTGGGGTTTTCTTGGCAAAGATGCTGGAGTGGTTGCCATTTCCTTCTCCAGTAGATTAAGGCAAACAGGTGACTTGCCAAGGGTCACATGGCTAGTTAATGTCTGAGGTCAAATTTGAACTCAGGTCTTCTTGGCTCCAGGCCCAGTACTCTAACCACTGAGCCACCTAGCTGCTTCCATTTATGTATATATTATATACCCCATAACAATATTGCTTCTGTTTTCTATTTCTGTTGATTCTTGTCCAATTGCTTTCTATCATGGAGTGCTCACTCAAAAACTTTTCCCTTAAGCTTCTGGATCTCATATGAATCTATCTCTTTAACATACAATGCTATCCACCCACCCTACTTTTATCTTTCCCTCTCATTTTGAATAAGGTATATGGCCTTCTAGAGTTAAATTTCTATTCAAAGGCCCTGTCTTACAAAGGCTTAGGATACCTGTGAGGTCAAGTTTTCCTCTTTGCATTCAGGTCACTAATTCACCTTATTTCTTACCCATATTTGATGCCTTTGTATATAGGCATCAGAGGCCATGGGTTTTTATTATTGGTTCTCTTCTTGTATGTTGGATATTGGTCCTCTCTTCTGCTATTCTTTCCTATATATGGTAGCTGCTACCCTTTATGGTACCAGGCTTGTCAAATCTATGGAGGTTTTCCCCCCCTCAATGTCTTTCCTTTTCAGTTTAAATCCCTCCTAATTCACAAGACATAAAGAAAATATGTTTTTACTGGCCATTTTTAGACTTTCTTGCCAAGAACCCATAAGTCATGGCTGAGTAATGAACAAATTCACAAAACCTGTTCTATTTCTTGGTTCCAATGCAAAATGTCAATTTGCTTAAATCACATTTTATGTCTTTATTAGAGCTTTTTCTATATTAAAGTGTTGAATAAACTTGGCTCCTATAAGGCCTATGAAATTCAAATATGCTTGTGAAATCTAGCAGAAAAGACACTACACTGGGAGGCAGGAGAGCTGAGTGCTAGTTTTAGCTCTGCCAAAGACACCTGTGTGAATTAGAATACGTTCTACCATTTTTCTAGGCCTCCATCTTGGGGGTTGGATTAGATGTTCTATTTTTCAGATACCTTCCAGTTTTTAACATTTTAGATTATAATTCTATGAATGAACAAGAGAATTCTCTGAGCATATCAGCAATGAACAACCTCCTCCATTTCCCCCTTACATTTTCGCCAAAGTTGGATATATTGACACAGAGCCTTGGGACTCCCCCATAACTCGAAGGGCAGATCCTCCAGAAGTGACTGCCCCAAGTTCAAGGTTTTCCGTGAGTGTAATACCCACTCAAAACCATTGGAGGATGTAGACCTTTAAATGGCAATAAAGCATTTCCTCTATGTAAACCTGGGGCTCACTGTCTCACAATTACGTATATCAAACAGTGGAAAGAATGGACACAAACAGGGAATTTGCTGGGAGGTGCACACACACAGGGAACACATGTGGTCAGGGCACACAAATAGAAGGGCAATTCAGTGTGGATGCTGCAGGACTGCTGATGTCTTACAGTGATAGCATCATATTGCCTTCCACAAGGCCTGTTCCCTACTGGTCTTCTCCGGACACAGAGTTTTCACTGTCTCAGCTGGACACTGCTTTGATAGCACAAAACATCTTCTGGATCATTCTCTATCTGACACTGCTTCCAGAATTTTAGGCTCAGCTAAATTTCTTGGAGGTCTGTTTTTGAGAAGATTAGGCATTCACATGTTCCCTTAGTTCATTCGTTGTTGTTGTTCAGTTGTGTCTGACTCTTCGTGACCCCATTTGGGGTTTTCTTGGCAAAGATACAGGAGTGGTTTGCCATTTTCTTCTCCAGCTCATTTTACAGATGAGGAAATTGAGTCAAACAGGGTGAAGTGATTTGCCCAGGGTCACACAGCTAGTAAGTGTCTGATACTGGATTTACTGAGCCATCTAGCTGCCCCTCCCTTGTTTCATAGCCAGAGGCTAGTTTGTTGTTGTTGTTGCTGTTAAGCAATTCTTTTCAAAAGGCTTTTGCCTTAGCCCTGTAGTGTTCTTTAGGAAAAGGGAAAAAAAATCCTGACTTCTTTCCCCTTGTGATGTGACTTGTTTTGTTCTCCTACAAAACTTACCTGGGCCTCTCATGTCTAAAAAGCAATTCAAACCTCCAAGTCTCTAGCTCTCTAGAACAGATTTTGGGCAATTTCATTCTCTTCCATAGTGAGCATTCTTTACGTCTGTTGATTTTAATCTCCTAAAACTAAACTATAAGCCATATAATGGCTATTTGTCCAATAACTACCAATCCATAATAGCAATCAATCAATAAACATTTATTAAGTACTTACTTCGTGCCAGGCATTGTGCTAAGCATTAGAGTACAAAAAAAAAAAGAAAGAAAGAAAAAAAAGGCAAAATACCATTCTTGCTTTCAAGGAACTTGCAGTCTAATTGGGAAAAACAACATACAAACAAATATATACAAGACTAGCTATATACAGGATAAATAAGAAATATTTAACAGAGGGAAGTCACTAGAATTAAGGTCGGTTGGGAAAGGCTTCTTGTAAAAGAAGAGGAGAGATGGGGAGAAAATTTGGAACTCAAAATCTTGTGGAACTGAAGGTTGAAAACTAAAAATAAATAAATAAATTTAAATGTGAAAAAAGAAAAATCACTTTGGTGGCTCTGAGGTTCAGGGTTCTGAAGTTTTTTAACTTTATATCTCTTCTGTTCCGTCATGTGGATCGAGGAGGAGGATGGGGAAAAAGCATCACCTACAAAAAGCTAAGTCCAAGTGGCAAGGTCATAGACTCACCTAACAACATTCCTAGCCTTTCATATTCAGATATGGCCACCCAAAGTCTAGATGACCTTTAGGCCCCCACTTAGCCTTGTTTTAATGTTCCTGAACCATTTTTGTTTTTGCTCATTTACAAATATTCCTTTTCTTCCCTTCAATAGAATATAAACTTATAACTAGAATTTAAGAATGATTTCATTTTTGTCTTTTATCCCCATTACTTTACATACTGCTTTGTATACAGTATGTGCTTAATTAACGTGTACTGAATTGAAATCCCTCTTGTCCCAAGTACTGAATGGAAACACCATCGCCTCTTGTCTATTTCAGGGTCACCGCTGGCTTTTACCAGCTGTCCTGGGTGTGCAGTTGTTATTGACCAGAAGGATAAAAGCATTCAAGTGAGTCATCCTGGGGAAGTCCCAGAGGTCCATTGCATTTCCCAGAATCCTCTCCAGTACAGCATTACTTCATCTTCCAGTGTACAGAAAATTAGAGAGCTAGAGAACATAATTGCCAGAGATCCAGGTAAGAAAAACAAACAACCCCTCTCTTCCCTCCAAAAAAAAAAAAAAAAAAAAAAAGACAGAAAGAAACCTCCTGGGCTCAAGGAGGTGTTTGTCGCTCTAGAAAACTAAAACTGAACATAAAGGTTATACTTAGTGTGTATACGACTGACTTTTTTGTATTAAACATCTGGCTGGATTGCTGCTAACTTTGCTTCCTTCTAAATAGTATTCTGGTGGACCCTTATATAGGAGGTAGGAGAGGTGAGCTGGTGATACAAAGGACATGTCAGATCTCTCATCCAATGATAGCCAGACTATGGTTTGCTACTGCATTGTCATGGTGAGTCTTAAATGGTTTAGTGTAAAGAGTTCTAGAACAGGAATTTACTTAAATTACTTAACTTTGCCAGGCTTCAATTTTCTTGCCTTCAATAAAAAGGAATTAAACATGGTAAGGTGAGGTCAAAAGATTTGTAATCTAACTGTGAATCCCAACTCTGCCATTTACTATGTGATCTTGGGCCTCAGTTTCCTCCTCTGAAAATGAGAGGTTTATTATAGCAATAGATGCAAATAAAACCTTTGATAAAATCTAATATTTGTTCATGGCAAAAAAATACTAAAAAGAATGGATATAGAGAGGTTTTTCTTCAAAACACTAAGCTGAGTCAATGTAACATATAATTAGAATCGTTGAGTCATTTTTAGTCATGTCTGACTCTTTGTGACCCCATTTGGGGTTTTCTTGGCAAAGATATTAGACTGGTTTGCCATTTCCTTCTCCAGCTCATTTTACAGATGAGGAAACTGAGGCAAACAGAGTTAAGTAACTTGCCCAGGGTCATGTAGCTAATAAGTATATGAGACTGGATTTGGACTCAGGTCTTCCTGACTCTAGACCCTTCTGTCTCTTCATTGTACCACCTAGCTTCCCCTGTAATTAGAAACATTCCCACTAAAAAGAGGTACAAAGTAAGAATAAATATTCTCACCCATTACTATTTTCACTCTCATAGTATTAGAAAATTTCAAAGTCACAATAGTATAAGAAAAAGGTATTAGGGGGATTAGCATTAGAAGTAAAGAAGTCAAAATATCATTATTTGGATATGGCATAATAATGTATATAGAAAATTTGACTTCCTCTACAAAAAAAAATAGATTTAAGCCAATCTTCAAAATATAAAGTTAACTCACATAATCATCAGCACTCTTAAATAATAGCAGAAAAAGATTTTTTAAAAAGAGAAACTCATTGTATAGTAACTCTAGAAACTATAAAATATTTGGGAATTAATCTACCTGGGAATACAAAGAATCTGTATAAGAACAACTATAAAATTATAATGACCAAAATAAAGGAGAACCTAAATAACTAAGTGTTCTTGAAGGGATTGGATTAATTTAGTAAGGAGGACAATTAATATGGATGTATGTAATTCTATACCAATCAAAATACTAAGGTGCTTCATTTTAAAACTAGGAAAAAAATTGTAATGAAATTTATATGAAAAAAGTGGGTTAAAATACCTAGTGGCACATTAAAAAGAAAAGCTGATGTAAGTAGTTTTACTCTTTTAGACTTTAAAGCCTATTACCAGTGGTCATCACTGAAACTCTTCAGTAGTAGGGAAACAGAAAGAAGTAGATGAAAGATGCTCCCAGATATCCAGTCAAATATATAGAAATGATTAATGTTTGATAAACCCATAGAAAATAAAAACTAGATAAAGAATTATTTCACAAATGCACTTGAGAAAATTGATGGTATTCTAGGGTAGGAAAGGGAATTAGACTTACGTTTTACACCATACACCTGAATGAATTTTAACTGATGAGAGACATATATTTTTTAAAAATCCATCATTTTCTTCCAAAAAAATGGAATAAAGTGATTAGCTCAATTGTAGAGGTGGGAAATGACTTATTTTTCAACTCAACAAAGAGAAGAAAGTTATTAGGTACAAGGTAGATAAAAATTTTTTTAAATTTGTACAATATAAACTGTATAATTAAGATAAAAAATAACAGATTGGGAAAAAATTCATGGCATGTATGATAGATAAAAATTAGACACATAAAAGATATAAAGGATTATTAAAAGTTGCAATAATTCCAATTCTACAATGAATAGTGGTCAAAGAATAAGAAAATTTTTTAAAAACAGGATACAAAAATTGTTAATAATCACTATAAAAACTGCAACTACAGTGTTAGAAATAGAGCCCCTTGAATCCCCTCAGCAGAGTTGGGAAGTTAGCCAGGGCAAGTTGCCTGCAGCCCATTGCTTTCCAAGTTGTAATGCTGGGTGGAGTCTCACTCTTAATAATGAAACTAAGTCTGGAGTGAAAGAAGAATTGCTTGTTACAATTCTTGCAAGAATTGGGTGCGCCCCCTGGTGGGAGAGGCACACTGTACAGAAGTGAGAGCCAGGTTTTATACTGTTAGTAAGATCCTGCTCCTCCCATCAGAGCTAGGATAGGACCAGCTCATCTGAGTTACACTCTTCCTGAATCGCCCATCCCATGATCCTCCTCATATTAAGGCCTCCCAATTCTTGCGTCCCATGTTCAAAAATGGCCGCTATCTCAGCCCTTGGGGTGTGCCAGTTAATATTCAATAAGCTTATTAAGCAAGCTGGAGAAAAGCCTTTGCCCTGACCGTGACCCCAACAGGTTGCAACCAATTTAGCCTCCAGGGCTCTTTCTTAAGGAACTGGTTGTTTACAGAATGTTTGGCATGTTTTCTGATTGGTCGAGGGACTATCCACAAGATCTTGGAATTCCCTTGTTCTGCTGCGGAAGCCTAACTTCTAAATTTTTCCCTACATACAGTGATAATTAAAGAAACACAAAATAATAGCTAGCATTTATGTAGTGCTTTAAGGTTTGAAAAGTGATTTAAATGTTATAGATAATATATGTTAAAAACAACTTCGAAAAACCACTGTCAAGTTCTTTGCCATAAACTTGGCAAAAATAAAATTGCATCTTTTCCTAATTAAATTAAAAAATAATAAGCACTTACCCACTCTTCCTTCCACCTCTTCTTAGTACCCCCTTCCACGAAAAATAAAACCTCTCCAGCATATGTACATAGTCAAGCAAAACATATCCCCACATTGACCACATCCAAAAATGTATATCTTACTCTGACTCAGAGAGCTCATTGCCTCTCTGTCAGGAGATGGGCAGCATTCAAAATCATTGGTGCTCTAGAATCTTGGTTCATCATTATGTTAACCAGAGGTCTTAAGTCTTTCAAAATTGTTCATTTTTATAATGTTGTTGTTGTTAAAGCGTAAATTGTTTTCCTGGTTCTACTCACTTCACTCTGCATCAGTTCAAAGTGAGGGTCAAGTGACACCTATTCCCCCACCCATTCCTTGTTTGCAGAATTCTACTTGTGCTCCCCCCTAGGGAAGAGTCTCTTATAATCTAGGAATTCATTTGGGATTAGAGAAGTTTCCCTCTGAGAAGAAGCTCAGTTTTTCCTTTTCCTTTTTTGTTAGTCATTTGTTTTATTCAAATTTTCTGTTTTTTACTCTTTTTACTTGGAGGGGACAGGGACTTATAAGTACTTGGCAGGTCTGAAAAATTCATACAATGTTGTCTGTTTCTTGAATTTGCATACAAATTTGCAATTTGTATTTAGGGTCGATTACAATCTCCTGGCCCCTCCATAGAGAATGTTAAGTTTGGGACTATTTGGGGGACTGGATTAAATGGAGTTCTGGGACTCTACTTTGCATTTAAAAGACCATTAAGAACTGTGGATCTTTTGAAACTTTTTAACACAGATTCTGGGGGGAGGCACTTGAAAGAACAATGTTTGAGCTATATCATGACCCAAGAGAACTCCCAATGAGGATATTCTCTCTACCAGTGTAGGTTGGCACCTCCTCTACACCATTGAGAGGAAGTGACTCACCCAGGGTCACATAGCTAGCATGTGACATAGACAGGGCTTGAACCCCAGATTTCCTGACTTAGAGACATATTTTCTAATCATTACCCCATGCTGCTTCTCTGAGACTTCTTGGACCCCTGGACGTGGGAGTAAGGATAGGTTTAGGTTCAGGATAGATTGGACCCTGTTAAGGATGAGGCAGATCATCTTTACCTGTCCTTGCTCAGCACCTCTTTCTCTGATACTCCCAGATCAGATAAGTCCTATATCATTTTTTCCTTCCTTACCTGCCCAAGTATCCACACTAAGCCCCTCCAGCTAAAACCTGCATTCCATCCCTTAGGAAACTGTGGAATAACTAGCAGCTACTTTGGTCAGATTGGCATGATCATACCAGCCACCACCTTTGTGACCGAATGCTGGGGCCTAAGTGTAGGCAAACTCGGTCCATCTCAGGCCGAGTATACCTCAAGATATTCAGGAAGGCATTCTTTGGGCTTCAGACTAGGGTTCTATGGATGGTTCTGTTTGTTCCTTGGTTGGAGTAAGGTCACTGAAAGAGGCCTAGAAGTTCAACTCTAGAGAAGAAGCTCCATATAGTCAAAGGCCTTTTCTACATCTTAAATTAAGAGGATTACCAGCGGCCACCAGAGGGAGCTAAGTACATTCACTATGCTTGACCAACGCTGTGAAGAATTTAGAACATATAATATTAGACCTGGGAAGGACCTTATAGACTATGTAGCTCAGAGGTGTTTAACTTTACGGTCTTTGAACTCTTTTTAAAAAATTAACATTTTCAGTATAATTGGTTCCCTTTGTAGCTTTGTGTATTTTGTTTTATATATTTAAAAACATTCTGAAAAGGGGTCTATAGGCTTCATCAGACCACCAAAGGGGTCCGTGACACAAAAAAGGTTAAGAATGGCTGATTTAATTTTTACAGATGAGGAAACTGAGGCTGGTCGGGATAGGGGGAATCATTATTAGTTATTGTGTCTTTACTGCAGCAGTAGTATAGGCACATGATCTCGAGTATCTGTTGGATAGAAGAATAAGACTCCTGGATTTTGAGTCAAATAGTCTGGATTTAAATCCTAGCTGTTACTA